GACAGGGGATGAAAAGCGCATGGATCTGCGCGAGGTGTATGATTGGAGGCACAGAGATGGCAGGTGGAAGGGAAGATGCAGGATTGTCGCGAGAGAATACCGTGCCGGAGCAAGCTCGACTGCGGAAACGTTCTCGCCGACTGCGAGTAACGCCGCATCGCGCTTAGTCTTGCTGTTGCACCTAGTATATCAATGGGTCGTTGTAGTACTAGATATAAAGGACGCGTACCTTCAGGTTCCCCAACAAGAAGAGGTACTGATCACAATCAGCGACTGGATGAAACGTGCAGCAAATCTGCAAGAAGGAGTTGTCTGGAGGCTGAAAAGATGCCTACCAGGACAGAGGAACGCAGCAACAAGGTGGTATGAACACTTGCGGAGTATATTGGAGAAACTTGGATTTGTATTCTCAGTACATGTACCCGCACTAGCTAGACACACCACAAGGAAGCTGTGTATCTCTATCCATGTAGACGACGAGTTGCTAGCAGGAGAAAGGGAAGAAACAATTTGGTTGGTGGAAGAATTGGAAAAGGTTTTCAAGGTAGAAAAGGAAGGACCGTATCCAACGAATGGAGTAGGAAATGGAGAAGAAATGCGGTATCTCAAAAGGAAGTATGTCTTCACCCCGGAAGGAATAGTTGTCCAACCGAATGAGAAGTATGTCCGTAAACTTATCGAGTTGTATGATCTTGGAAGGTTGAAGAGTAAGGCCACACCAGAGCATGTGGATCTGGTGAAGGAAGACCGGAGTAAGGAGTTGAGTTCTGAAGAGACAAAACGGTTTAGATCTGGACGCGGATCTATTTTGTACCTTGCACAGGACAGAATTGACATTCAGTATGCCTCAAAGTGTTTGGCATCAAGTATGTCGAGGCCGACCGTGCAGGCACTAAAGTGTCTGAAGCACTTGATTCTGTATCTGAGTGGAACAGCCACAAGGGCTACCCTTTTACCGTATACCGAAATCGGAAGCCGGTTGATTACGGTTACGAAGCTGAATGGCCAAGAGGATGAAGAAATCAGCAAGGACTCCGGACATGTTGTGGAAGCGTATTCGGACAGTGATTGGGCAAGCTTGAAGACACCTGAAAGAGCTCGAAGGAAGAGTACATCATCAGGAATCATTGTACTAAATGGAGTACAAGTGTTATCATTTTCGAGGACCCAAAAAGCCACATCATCATCAAGCTGTGAAGCAGAGTTGTATGCACTAAGTGGAACTTGCGGAGAAGCTATCCTAGTCGGAAGGCTATTTGAGTTCCTAGTAAACACGCCTGTACGCGTGGAGATACGGTGCGACTCATCATCTGCACGACAGTGGAGTCAACGGAGAGGAGTTGGACGTCTGAAGCATGTGGACGTTAGGCTGTGTCAACTGCAAGATTGGGTACGAGACAATCTTGTAAAGCTTGGAACGGTAAGAACCGCGCTCAATGTAGCGGATCTGAATACCAAGAAGTTGTCGTATGCCCGAAGGTCATTTCTACAGTATCACTTGTCTCAAGTTGAGTATGATGAAGAAGGAAACCTGGAGTATACTGGAGAGAAAGAGTACGAAAAACACGAACAGGAAAAGAGGTTGAAAGAGTATGTCAGAAGTGGACAAATCAAGAACCTCATAAGGGCAATACAGGTTTTTCATTTAATGAAGCCGTCTACTGCAGCAGGGCTCAAGTCAAGGAGGACGTAGCGAATGCCCGAGCGGATACCAGCGGAACCTTTGGAAAAGGTATGGAAGCTATGGATGGAAACTTTACGAAGTTTGAAGTCTGTATGATCGTATGTGTACTGCTGTTAGCAGCTCCGTATGCCATCACACTGTGGAAGAAACTGAAGCGTACAGTGGATCAAATCAAAGGAGTTGGCAAAGTGAAGATTTCGACAGGGTCGAAGGCGAGAGTATTCCATAAGCCGACGTGTTGGCATGTGCAGGGAGATCATGTACGTTCTGGTCAATGGATCTGGAAGTACGAGGAACAAGCATTGGCAGAAGGATTTCGCCATTGCTGGATATGCTATCCGGAAACGCGTCCAGAAGGAAGTCAGCGAAAGAGACGTGGACGTGTAGAACCACCAGTCCCGGATGACAGCGATGACAACTGGGAAGTTATGGAGTTTACTGTGGAATCCACTGGAGGATGTATGAAGAAATGTCATTGGTGCGGAGTAAGGAAGTGCACACGCGAGAAAAAGGATCACCAGCGATGCGCCTGTACACCGTGTATTACTGAATATGCGACAACCCAATGGCGACAGAGTTACGACCGCACGAGAGAAGTGGAAGAATCCACTGGAAAAGAATCGGATGAACCTCGTGGATCAGGAGAGTCAATGCACAAGTGGAACACCGGAGTGCAGCGAAGTGGCACTGGAAAAGGAACGCTGAGGAGACGTGGAAGAGCAGCAATGGGGACACCGGAGATTGTACACACGGATGGAGTCCGTATAGCCCATCATAAGTGAAGAAGACTACCAACGTGGTGGAAGAATCACCTCTGGAAGAACCACGGAGGATTCAGAGATGATCGAGTTTCGCGGAAAGATGGTAACCATGGAAGAAATGGGAAACATGGTAATGCCAGAAGAGTGCCAGGAATCCTACGAAGCGTACTGCGAACGTGCCAAGAAAGAAGAAGAAAACAAGGAACAGGAAGTGGATCCCGGTACGCCAGATAGTACAGAAATGCGTACGTTGACCGGAAGTCAGTAAGCCCTACATCGTGATCGAGTATGAGACCAAGCAGTGAGTGTAGGCAAGACAGCAAAAGTTTCACCTCGGAACACAACAGCGGAAGCGCAAAAGAAGGAAGAGCGCTGACGCAGGAAGTTTGTGTAAGTTGTTTCACTTGGACGAAGTACTTGTTACTGTACGAATGTCAGGATATGGACGGTCTGACACACCTCCTTAATTGGGGGACGGTAAAAAGGTGGGTTGCACGGAGTGTTTAACCCAGGACTTGCAAGGGCAAAGCCTATGCAGTTAGGGCGGAGGTTTGCCCGACCGCGGACCGTTACGCGAGTACAGCACAAGGACTTCGAGGCAGGGTGTTAAGATTTGTACATAGAACGCCCACACCTTTGGTGAGCCTAGGCTACGGCATATGAAATGTATAGAATGACTATGCAGCGCCTTTGGCTTAAGCAGGAAAAGCGTGAACGCTCAGGGTCTTACAGTTTAACTGTCCTGCAGATGATGTTCGTGAAGGACATGTTGTTCGGTTGGATGGTGGAACTTGGACGCGCACCTTGAGCATGTGGGGTAAGAGGGACGAAGAGTACGAGGAGCAAGCCGAGGATGATGCGGGCCGAGTATGCTGTGGATCATGTTGAACCAAGGCGGCGTGTTCGTGGAAAGACTACTTTTCGAGGTCCTTCAGTGCGTGCGATGGCGGTGGAGATATTGTCAAGGCCCGAGCTGGTGAGAAGGATTGTGTCAACGGCTATATGGACTTCTGATGAAGCTCGTGTGACACGGCCGCAAATGAGGGACGGTGCTATGTGGGATGGTGTTGCGTATTCGAGTTTGAGCAGCCCTCTGTGCCATCCTTTTCATCCTCGACCCAACAGCCCCTGCGATCACCAAGAACGTCTTCCGGCCACCGTGGCCAGAAAGAGCGAGGAGAGGATTGTCGACGAAAGTCTTCGTCGTGCAAAGAGCTCGATCAGGCAGCCAGCACGCGGTTCCGATGATGTGCCATCAGTGATGTCAGCACCCGCCGCTGATCCTGCATGAGGTCGGACAGGGACAAGGATGAGGGCCACGAGGTTGGCCCTTCTCGGAATGGTCGTCGGATGCTGATCTCTGAGTCTCTGTCTGGCTCTTTCCATCGCCTCTTCTGGCGTGATTGTCGCTTGCACTTCCGCAAGAACTCTTGTGATGAAAGCTCTGACCTCGGCATTGGTGGGATCAGTGATCGGAATATAGGTGTCATTCCCAGCTTGTTGCATCCTGTGCACAGAGAGTTGGAACCTGGTAATTGTCTCCATTCCGGCGATCCAAGTTCGTGAACTGCTGAACGCGGTAGAGACACACAGTGGCCGCGTCCTTGACGATCAGTGGCCGCAGGAAACTCTTGAAGTACTTGACTCCGTTGTTGGGATCCTTCAGGCGATCTCTGTCCGGTAGCCGCTTGTGAGTTGCTGCCTCACCTTTCAACCCAACCTGTTCCGCAAAGCTGGTTCACGCTTGCCGTTGTCAATCTCATTGATGTCCCGCCAATCATCCATCGCCTCTTTATGGGCAAACCAATTGCTTCGCCCATCATATGAGGGCGGTGCCTTTGTGGCATGAGCTGAGATGCTGAAAGTCGCTGCAGCTGTTGCTCATGTCTCTGATTCGTCGCACGAGAGTCATGTTTTGAGTGACGTAATCATCATCTCCCCTTCACCATGCTCAAGCGGCGCAGAGGAGTGGCTTGTCATGGCTGTGTCCTCGGATCAAGCCCCGGGAGCAAAAAAAACGCCGGTTGTTTTCACCAGCGCGAAGTGTGCCGGGGAGAATCCCGTCACCTCACAAGCGTGAAGCGCACCGGGTATTCCGGCCGGCTCCACCTGCGTTGAGGACAGACAACGCAGCAGTCTCTTTTCTACAGGCTCACAGCTGTAGCCGATACTTTGCGAGAACCTTGAGCAGCATGAGCAGCAAGCATGGATACATGCATGTGACACGTGAAACAACAGGCACTTGAAGGTGCATTCAGTGTTTCACATTCCCACCCCCGCCCGCACGCTTGCATGCTAGACGGCTATGTTGCGCCAATCTTCTTCGAATGTTTTGAATTTTAGTCGTGTTCAAGGTATGTTTGAGCCGGACATGCTTGTTGCGAAGCGAACAGGAAGGTCTTTCAACTGTGCGACTCTTGAAGTTGTCGTGACTTTCGGGCATTGATTGCTTTATTGGCTCTGAGCCCTAGATCTTGCGATGCCGGCAGTTCTTGTTTGTGCGAGCTTGTCAGCTCGAGTTCGTAATTTCAGGTGAAGCTGTTGGAAAGAAGCTGATGGAGTTCATGTTTCAACGGAATGTCTCCATCGCTGTGTTGCTCACAACGGTTTGGCCGATCAAGCATGCATTTGAAATGGAGTTCGTGTACGAGTTTGGGACGGACACGGCCAGCCAATGGCACAGCTTTCAACGCGACCCGTTTCACAATTGTGACCAGGTTGCAAGCTTCGTTTGACAAGAAGACACATAAGAAGTTCAAAAGGGACATTGCGGTTTACCAATGTTTACTGAGGTGCAGGCAAGAACGCAGGGTCGATTGAGTGGGCGCGCCTCCAGGATCTTATTTGGACCACGGTCAGAAACGAAAGCTTGGTTTACGGGGCAAGCATTCGCGACTTCATCTTCCACGAGGACAATGCACTACACGAGACCCTTACTCGTTTTTGTGAGCGGGTGAGTTTTTGAAACAACCGAGATGATTTCTCGCAAGAAGCCACGAGGACGTTCAGGACTTGGTAACAGACCAGCTACAACATCCGTACAACTTCGTGCCCGACTGTTTTTTGGGATGGGTGGCTACGTTGCTCCTCGAAGATGCTTGGAAGTATGTTCTGTTCTGAGATGCAAAGTTCAACTGATATGTTTGGGTTTCTGGATTGTGGCTCCCACATTTGTTGGAGCAATTACACCTGTTGGGTTTTGTTGGTCATTCCTGATGCCTTCGCGATGCAGTTAGGCGTAGAATCAAGTAGAATTCCAGAAGAACCACGGTCGTTTAGAGGCACCACTGTGGATTTCATGTGCGAATGAAAACCACCTCAGGTTTCGCACCCAAAAATCAATTTGAGAATCAACCGAAGCCTCCATGTGAATCGACAGGCAGCATCCGTTTTCACATGGAGAGAGGAGAGTGTTCGATCCCCTCCGTTCACGGCTTTCTCCAGGGAACTGGGAGGAAAGTTGTGTCATGTTGTCTCAACTTATCTATCTCTGCGGTCGGGTTTGCTCAGCGTTGGTGGGCAATGCGGCCATGCCGCCTTCCATGACCTCGCGATGCGTGAACCTGCGCTAAATCCGTCCTCGAAGCAGCGTTCCTTTATTGCTCTGCTTTCATGCTTGTTGAACTTTGAAACTCGGCTTGTTCTCGAATTCGCAGCCTCTGTCTCCAGCTGTTCTGTTGTTGCTCTCGACATCTTGAACTGACTGTTCTCGATTGCTCTCGATTCTTCAGTCTATGGCAGACCAGCTATAAGGCTCGTGAAGGCAGGCATCACGTGGCACATGGAGGCATCAGTATACTTCTCCTACGAGCAAGTCCTGAAGGGATACCTGGCCGATTTGACCTTCTGGGAGTTTTTTGGTTCATCCTGGTTGTTGAGCGCGCTTTTGTGATGCTCGGCAGCCATTAAACGCCAGAGGTTCTAAGACTCACGCAAAGGCAAGATTTCATGCACGAGCCAACAGACATGTTAGTTTTCGGTCATAGTCAGCAACCGGTCGAAAAGCAGCCACGAGGTCAGGTCTGCGTGTTCCATCGCACCACCAACGAGATGGACTTCTCGGGACCTGAGCTTCTCCAGGATATGCACATCCTTTCATTGCTCGACATTGGCCATCTCCGACTCAAGGCGTCGCCCATTTTCTCTGCAACGGCCGCTGCTGTGCTGGGCAAGGGCGCGAGAGCTTACACCGTGAGCGGGGAGAGTCGGCTTCTGACATATACGGTGTACGTCTGGGGCGAGGATGGGAGTGGAAATTACCTTGAACATGCTCCCTTTTCGTTGCTCCTCTTCTTACTTTTGCCAGTTAGCGAAGGCCTTCCTCAAGTGGCTTCCAGCGTACATCAAGCGCTTCCACAGCCTTGGAGTCTACAACTTGATGGTCTATGGCGACGCTGCCGCCTACCAGGTTTGCTCTGCGATACAGGGGGCCGTGTGCCTCCAACTGGAGACGAAGAACGCGCTTCACCGCTACACGGTTCCTTTAGCTCTCATGAACCTGGGCGTGGATGTCTTCGTCCTCGATTTTGATATCTACCCCTTCCAGGACCACCTTGTGATGTCTCTGCTGCATGGTATAGTAGTCTACCGATTGTAAGCAATTGAAGCTTCTCTTCCCCTTGGGGTTGATGAAGAGGTTTGTTGAAGGTTTGGGCTTTGGATGTCCGAGACCTGCCGTTTTCAATAGCAACGCGCAAAGACGACTCACGCAGGATGCAGCATGTCGGAGCACACTCTTCTTGTGCAGGGTTGAAGACTCCAGCAAGCACCCTAAAAAGCGCCACGGATGTTCCATCGTGGCCCGTGGGTTGCTTACTAGTAGGGGACTTGATAGTTGAGTTGCAAGATAGTTATAAGCAGTTAATTAAGCAGATGTACACGATTACGTGAGATGTCAAGCATAGCCGAACGTTATCAGGTGGTTGCTGAACATATCGAAATTACTGAAGCTAGTACTATCCGTTTGTGCAGCTAGTTACGGTAACTGGGACAACCGTTCAGTGATTAGATAGATTTGGACATGTGGACTGTTTGGATAGGAAGAACCGAAGGCTTGGATTTGAGGATAAGAGTGATCATTGAGAGCGGAAGGCAGTTGCTTCGCGGGGATTCCCTAGATCTAGAAGAGGATCATGGACAAGTGGTGTCGAATGGCCGGGCTTCAGGGCAAAGTCCGAGCATCTGAAAACATTCGTCCCGAACCTTCCGATTCCTGAACTCCTCACATGTCCAGCCTGCCTTTTGGAGCAAGAGGATCCAACACCCGTGCTAATTTCAGAAATGGAGAGCTACAGTGTCACGCCGGAGTTTCTGATTGCTGGCTCGTTCGGCGATGCCTGCATCTGCAATGCTAGCGGGCTGGAAAGACTGATTGTGTTCACCTTGGTGTTTGGGGTAGCACTGTGAAGGTGGTGCCGATGTGTTTTGCACCGAATATGTCCAAAGAAGTTGTTATTAACGAAACGACAAGTCATGCTAAGGCATTGGCGTTCTACCGGAACACCCCTTCACTCCGGGATTTTATCCGCGGCTTGTTGGTCTGGCTTTATGAACATCCCTTCCCAGGGCACGCTATTACGCAGAGGGCGCTGTCTGCCTTTTTGGGGGAAGCCCGGCTGCAAGTCAGCACAATGCCACGTGGCGCATGGTCATGATAAGATCTGACGAGCTTCAGCTTCCGTTTTCCTGCTATGCTGTACGGTTACGCGACTTTGCAAATCTGTGATTGTCGTGTGTTCGAGCTCAGAACACAGAACACGGCCGAGGAAGCACCCATGCAGAAAACGGAAAGCACGCGCCCATTCGTCGTGAAAGCTGAACGATTGGCCCCTTGGCTCCCGGACCGCGCTAGCCCTGGAATCGCCTGGGCCGTGCTAGATCCAGGCGCGCGGCGGGTGCCGCTGAAGCACATGAGCATTTGGTTGTTGCGCAGTATTCAGGCGATCCATAGTTTGTGGCGGCAACACTAGACTGCATGTATGGGTGCAAGAATGCAGCATTCGAGCGTTCGAAAAAGGGTAGACCTACGTGTCGGTGCATGTTGTTTGGATCAGATGTTGTTGACTTGTACCTGGGAGTTGCGGAAGAGAGTGGAGTGGTGGCAACAAGATCAGAAATCCTAGTGGAATTTGGCAGCATCAGCACCCGCCGTTCCAGGCGTGCAGTTTTCCTCGTCAGCCAACCTCGAAACCTCGGGCTGGGCAGGCGATGCAGAGGACCAGACTTTGCAAAAAGTTGTTGTCCTAACCTATGACTATCAGCAAGTGCGATAGCAGTCGGAGCGAAGGTCAAGGGATTTTGGTGTTGTTTTACACATACACCGACACGAACGTCGTTAAGGCCAACCGATACATCGCCCAACACCCCAAGATGCCTGGCCAGTGACAAAGACTGCACTAGGATACGAAAGAAGGTCAGTGAGAACAAGGACGACAAAATAAATCCAAATCAGGGTTTAGGGACCCCCTTCCCCCCACCCCACTTGTGTCGGTGTCTCATCGCCCGTTCCTAAGACGGGTATCCGCAGCTAAAGCAAGTCCTTGCTGCCAGCAGAGTCACCTACTGTCATGAATTTCCTGCTTGTAGAGGAGATTGTGATCTATCACTTTTTCTACGGCGCTTGGTTGGATGCCGAAGTTGCCATGACGATAGACGTGAAGGACAGGGAGATGTTCGATATCTTTTACAACACCAGCTGTGGTACAGAGCCTCAGGCATGTGAAGAACGTCGGAATCAGAGGATTCAGAAACACCTCGTCGCAAACAGGCGCGGAGATGTCCGCAATCATACGGAACGAGCGTGTTTCTCCTTGCCCATCACTGATTTGGAAATTGAGCCGAAAATCGATCTGCGCCTGAGCTACGTAATGCCGTGCGGCTCGCTGTTCTCCTGCAATGTGCTTGAAGATGCTTCAGGAAAGAACGTACTTCAGAGTGCATCATCAGCATCACCACCACCGTCTCCACCGTCATCATCATTATCATCGTCATCATCATCATCATCATCGGTTCTGATGCTTTGACATCGGTGTGGAAATCTAACCGTGTCGTACAATACGGTATGGTGTTTGCGGCTCTTGAGCTGCCAAAGCCTGAGTCCATGTTCAGCACTGCAACAAGAGCAGCCTGACCTGACATGCCTTGAGAAGGGTCTCCCGGTCCCATGCAGTACCAATCTGCCAAAGTCAGCCTATGCTGCTGCAATACGTCTTTTGTAATCTCTGCAGTCACTCAGCCGTGTCGTGGACATGAGCTCCAAGGTGTCGGACAAGGTCCTTAAGATTAAGCTAAGGCTGAAGACGTTTGGAAGCTGTGTAAGCACCGCAGCCACCCCAGAGGAATTGAAGCACCTAGTCCCCAATGATTTCATATGCGGTTGTACGTATCCGTGTTGGTCTGTCGGTCAGTATATTCTGCCTCGTTGTAGCATCTGTACAGCATTTAAGACATGCTACATGCAAGATGTTACAGGCCAACATTACTAAGCACACATTGGAAAGCATACGCGCCTACATGTCCAAGCATCCATGAAGTGTCGAGGTGTCCAGTTGCGCATGTTCATTGGTTCTTAAACATCCTAACATGAGATGGTAGATCATGAACCTCAAGCTTCATTGGAGATAAAGGAGGGCATTGGCATCCGCCCGTCAAAAAAAGCCTTCGAGAGAGATGCTTGCAACCCCAGAATCAACCAACTTACAGGAGCATGGTTAGTAAGAGTAGTTCTGCAAACACTACGAAGCAAGACGTGGTTCAGATTGCCCATAGGAAGGGGTTCGAAACATTACAAATCTATGTCTTGAATCTTCAGAAACATCATTACATCCAATGCATGCCTACACGGTGCACCAGTCTCTTCTTTCAGTACGAGGCATTTGCTTTCTTATCATGGAGTTCCCCGAGGTGGAGAGGCCGAGCAATCAAAGCAGGTTTACTTCCCAGTCAAAACATGATGGTCATTAAGGCTTACTAAGGGCAAGGGGTGATCATTGAGAAACGAAAAATGCACTTGTGGGCCTTGGCCTGAGCGAATGCCTGGAAGCGCTGCCCACGGAAAATTAGGTGTTTGATGTGATTATTGAACCGAAGCCTTTGTAATTTATAGGTATGAACTGGATATTGCGAGGCTTTCATGTCTCGCAAATGGGGTTACACCAACCCTGGTTTCAATTTTTATGCATCTGGCTCACCTGGAAACATGTTTGAATCCAACTGGGGTTTTAAGATAGGGCCTTGCTGGGTGTTGCTTCGCTGCAGGTGGCGACGCGAAGGAAACTTTACTTGTTTTTGTTGCCGCTTCTGAGGCGGTTCAATCGCATACCAATTTTATGAAGACTGCACACAGAACAGGCTTCCATTGATGCGTGCAGAAAACGCGTGGATGCTCGGATAAATGCAGCTCACTTGGCACAAGTCTACGCCGCAAGTGATATCTTTTTTGAATGAGTGGCATGGTTGTGCCAAGCAGGATCCCAGATACACGTTCAGCAAACCATGCAGCAGTCAGCCCGCCACTTTATCACGGTGGTAGTGGAGAACCAACAGCGAGTCACTGCCATGTCGCCCCCTGGTGACATCTGCAGATCTAAACTTCGCTCCCCGTTAAGCATGCGAGAACATGGGGCTCGCCGGAACTAGCCGGTGTTCCCATGTGCTGCGAACGCCAGTCCGGTGTCTACAATCGCTGACGAGGCTGTGAACCAATCCAGCAGAAGTGGCTGCGCTTTTGTTGTCGAGCACTCCTCATGTGGCAGTCAGATGCAACTGACGTTGATTCTGATTGTCAGTATGACAATTTTATTCCGATTGCGATGTCTTGCTGCAAGAAATCCAGGCATGACCAGCTGTTCGGCGGCCGTCGCGATCCATCGTTCAGTAAAATGGGACTTCCATGCTGCTGCTGCTTTCTGCCCGCACCCGGCATGGTCTGCTATGTCTTCAGGCCTTAGGCCCCTGGAGGTGCTGATTCGGGCAACATACCTGGAGCTAGTCTGGAGCTGTACTGTGGAGACTCAACCCAAATCATTCCAATCTGTTAGTCTTGAAACTATGGACAGCCAAGGCTATTATGCTGCTTATAAACTTCTTGCAAGCCGCTCTGTGCGGTGGCACGGGACCGGGCGACAGAATCTATTGGCTCGGGAACAAGAGTATCTTGAATGCCTCCTACTTGGATGTTGTAACACCCGCTCTGCAGACGTCTGCAGCATGTCCGGACAGGCAACATCCTGCTCAGAATTCAACTGCCAATGACACAGAGACAGAAGTGAAGTGTACATTGTGGTTCAGTTAGCTGAAGACCTGACAGGGCCAAGATGGATGGGGTAGCAACATACGCCATTGGGTTTCCAACTAGTGGGGCTTCTGAAGGTTGCAGGACCTGGCGTAAATGGGATGCTCTAAGCCAGTCTCGACCCGCGGTTTGAGTTCTTTCCTTGCTCGGACTTAGGCAGGCCGTCTGCAGACGAGCAAAAGATCTACGCAGAGTCTTAGTTGTCCATCTGCGTTCGGGGTGGTCCAGCAGGAAAGGCTCTGTAGCGTTTGCTGCATCTCTAGGTTGTGATGGGAGAACCATACATATATTGGGTTGAGTGTCGGAGCTGGAACTTACGATGTCTGTCACCGCGTGTATAAACGGCCCGTGAGACCAGTTCTGTACAGGAGAGCATCATGGGACGATGCGTTCACATGTCCGTCAGGCGTGCTTGCATCGAATTCCTGAAACCTCCCACAGAGAATGTACTCGAGGTCTATATAGCAGGGCAGACGCCTCCCGCCGAAATCTTCACCTAGGGGGCAGTGCACACACACACACATACACGGACGGAGCAACAAGTGCAAGGGACGTTCGATTCAACGGCCCTCCTCCGGTGCTACAGAGCACGATATGTAGACTTGACAGCCGTTGCGCAGCACAGAACCTCACAGCGATGGATGCATTGAGTGTTGTGTTGTTGCTGGCTTGGTTGGTTTTGGTTTAGAAAGCCTTGACAACATTGACAAACCCGGTGTGGCAGTTTTCTGTCTCTCTCTCTCTCTCTCTCTCTCTCTCTCTCTCTCTCTTTCTCGGGAAGTTTTGTGGCGGTTTTACAGTGGGAAAGCAGAAAGTTAACCATGCCACACTTTGACTCGTACGGACTAAACACAGGGCCCCGGTGCCTAAGGATCCCAGCCTTGTGGTGGATCCCGCTATGTGCTTCGAAACCGTGGCTTCGGTCCAAAAGGAGAGGAGTCCAGGAAGTTAAGTTCACGGTTGGTCCAGTCAACCAGGTATGTGATTTTGAAGAAATTTGAAGAGGTACCAGGTATCATCCAAGAACGTTGGCTCTAAGATGTTGGGTTGAGCCGGCTCTCAGGCATCCAGTCGAGGGCTGACGCTTTTCCAAGCGCTTTCGATTCCCTCAGAACCCTTGGCGACCAAGGAAAGTGTCTTGTTGCAGATCAGATTATTTTCCGAACGAGCCGGACCGTGCATGCACCGTGGTTTGGGTTTCAGGACGTTGTTTGGGCTTCACGCGGCCAGGGTTTAGGCTTCAGAGTGTTTTGTACTTGAAGTTTCGACGGTATAGATCCTTCGTGGGCATGGTTTAAGTTTAGGCTTCAGGTCAATGGTTTCGGGCGAAGAAAGTTCGCACCTCATACCAGGCACCTGGCAGAGGTCACGACGCTGACAAACGGCACCATCAATATGCGGGTCCTGGAGCACCTGGGCTTGCGGTCGGTGGACATGCCCTGGATCAGTTCTAAAACGGCTAAGTGAAGGGTGGGATTCCCACCCGTGGTGTTTATAGGATACCTCCTGTTCGGACTTCTCTAAGTCAGGTTTTCTGGGGTGTAAGCAGGGCTTTCCATTTTCTTGGGGTTGTGTGTCCTCTTGGCTTTGTGGTTTCGTGGCTCCTTGGCTTTGAGGTTTGTTGGCCAGTTGAGATTCGTTGACAACGTCACCGGTTCCGGTATGTTTCATGCTCATGGCATGAAGTTGGATACAATTGTCATAGATGTCCGCATAGACAGAGCTGACATTGCTTCATGACATTGAGTCAAGGTACGCACGATCAGATTGAAGAAGACAACCTGAATAGGCAATTTGCCGTGCTGCTTGTTTGCTCTGCCTCTCTCTTAGTCTTTCTTCCCTCACCCTCACTCTCATTCTCATTCTCACTCTCACTCTCACTCACTCTCGCTCTCTCTCTCTCTCTCTCTCTCTCTCCGCTATAATCGAGCAACGACCCAAGCATTGCTTTGCCTGCCTCCCTTTGCCCGGGCGAGTGATGCCTCGCAAAGCACAGCATCCGCGGTGACAAAGTAAATCCGCGGTGACAAAGTAAACGTCCGTCGTCCGGGTGCGCTGGTGAAATAGTAGAGCCGGGAGATCCAAGCCAAGCATTGGAACATGTCAAAGCCAAGCACTACATGAACCCACGGTGACGATTCGTCCGTGTTGTCGGCACATGTAGCTGTCCAGGGCTTGCTCGTTTCCGGACCACCCTCGCCTAGAGCCCAATTCAAAAACCGGCCCCAATTTCTGGCTCCACGCCCAATCGCTGCAATCGCAACCCCCACACACGTCTGCGACCCCAATCTCTCCCTGTAGCAATCCCCAAGCAAAGGTACATCCAGGCGGACAGCCCTGGCCTGCAGCTGTTCAGCCTCAATGGGGTGAGCGTAGCCCAACACGGGCCGGCCTGCACCTCGCCCAAGTAGGGGTTGTCTATAGCATGTGGTCTTCTTATGTGCAATTGTGTGTGTGTGTGTGTGTGTCTGTCTGTCTGTCTGTCTGTTCTGTCTGTCCTGTCCTGTCCTGTCCTGTCCTGTCCTGTCCTGTCCTGTCCTGTCCTGTCCTGTCCTGTCCTGTCCTGTCCTGTCCTGTCCTGTCCTGTCCTGTCTGTCTGTCTGTGTCTCTGTGTGTGTGCCCTCGTGTCTTTCGATGTTTCAGTAACGCTGTCGTTCAAGTTCCACGTCAGCCATCAAGGTATGTGGGGACCGGCAACGGTAAGGGTGGGATTGCTCGTTCTCTCTCTCTCTCTCTCTCACTTTTTTCTCCTCTCTCTTTCTATACACACATACATACATACATACATATATATATATATATACGTACACACATATGTATATAGACAAATATGGAGACATATGCCGTAATCTGCTGTCTACTTGTAGATAGGTATGTAAACATGTGCGTAAGTGCAAACAATGTTGCATACCACCTACAAGCCGGATGTTCCCAAACTCAGGCTCCATAGCAACCCGCTTTCTTCAGAGTTCTTAGGCAGGGCATGTGCTGTGTTTTGAAGCTGAACAGACCATCACTGAATCAAGCCCAGGGACCATCATTGCCCAAGAAGGTGGTGTTTCCATTTGGTGTTGCCGCAGAGGGCTACGCATGATGTTGCACATGTGCTTTTCCATTTCGCAGCAAGAGCCAGGATAACTTAATTCCTGCACCTGTGACGCTTGTCACTTGTTCCCAACATTGACAAGCAAGAATCTAAACGAGCTACAACTCCATAGACCTCTATGAAATAAATCCTCCGCCCTTGAACGAACCTTCAGGTTTGGGCCTTCTGGTGGTATCGCGGATGTCGAACGGCTGTGGCATTGCATACCGAGATCTTGGACCTCAGGAGGACTTCCACAAACTTGGCAGAAGCCCAGAACTGTTACATGTGAGCCACGTCAATTCATCCGTGACACGACCATGCATTGACCAAAGACCAAAGCTCCTGGCCACATGAACCTGAAACCCGGAGCCTCAAAAGCTAACGAGCTTTTTGGACTTTTGACCCGAAGTCCGGAACTCAATCCCTCAACCCCCTGCGCTGGAAAGCCTTGACTGGAAATCCCGGGCGCTTTATCAATTCACAAGAGTTGCAGGGCCACGAAGTGACAGCGTATGCGTGGAACTCTGAAGAAGTTCCACGCGCAGGCTACAGGTGGGCAGTCGTGATGCGGCCTGATAGAAAGTGTTGAGTTCCTTGCATCGCCCGTAATGCCTGAGCGACGGGATGCAGACCAAGTCGGGAGTGAGCAAGAACCTTCGCTGTGGGCTGTCTAGCCGTCGTCTTGGAGGGGGTTCAGCAGTTTTCGAGTTCTGAATGGCGGATAGCATGCGAATTCATCCGATTCCAGGTTTTGACGAAGGGCCGCGCAGGGACGCCTGATCTTGGCTTCGTCTGCTGTCTGAAACGGAGGTACTAAGAGTTAGTAGAATTCAATTTGTGATACTCTTGGGCCAACATCCCATTCGCAAACCAACTGAGTTCAGATTACTTGCTCCGGAGGAAGAGCTTCGAGATGATCTTGGAGCATGTAGCGCTCAATTTTGGCCAGGCTTCTCCCGGAGTGGCCGTCTGTGCGTAACCGGCGGCAGTTCTTGGTTGCGGTGAAGGTCCTGCCCATGCTTGAAGCATGTTCAGCAAGATGTGGACGCCTTTAGTTTGTGTGTTGTCTGTCGTGCATTTGGAGGGTCGCTGTGTGCTTTGTTTCTTGTTCCAACGATGCTCTAAGGAAGAAGTAACCTACATTAACCTACAAAACTGGGCATTCAGCAGGGCTATCCCTGCGATCACCTAGTTTTGCGTCAAGTGCTGTGCATCCGATAAACCTTGCACCATGTCGACATGTGATTACTTGAACAGCTTTTCGGAGTTGCCGCGTTTCCGCTAAGTAGAAAAAAGTCTGTACATGCGGTGGCAGTCGGGGGGGCACGACTTGCACAAAAAACTTGGAGGTTTTTGAACATGCTTGCTTGATCAAGCTTGGGGTGCGTCGCCTGACCATGTTGCATGCACTCTAGACTTTGTCGGCCTGGAAGTGATGTGCACAGTATTCCATGCAGGCACAAGGCACAGTCAACTCATGTGATACACATGGCTCGAACTCATGCACCTGAATTCAACGAACGATAACCAGTTCACCTGCCCTCGACACCGAATCAGCCTTCCCCACCAACCAGTGCAGCCCGACCCTGCCTTGATTGAACAGTGGATTCCAGTGTCGATCCTACGTGGAGTCCCGGCCCACTCCTTCCAGCAGAACGTACTCAAAACTGGCAGTGCTTGAATTTTAGAGTGGTCGCTGCGCTGCCCCTCTGTAGGTGGGTCAAGCAGACAGATTGGACGTATACAAGTAGACTGCCAGATGCACGACCCACATCATTCACTGCAAAAACAGCCGAGTCAATGCTGTATCAGCGCTATATAGTGGCTGCTGGTTGCGGAATATTGCTGATGGTGACGCCAAAATTCGGACTTTAGCTCCGCCACATCTCTCACAGGTTCAATCCAACTGGTGAAAACATTGTCGAGGTTCTGTTGCTCTGGGGCGGACAGTCCTTCATGCCGTCTCTGAATCTCTGAACGTGCGATGTCCAACTGATCAGCTTGCTATGAAAAGGTGGTTCGCTTTATCCACGAGTGCATTTCTTCTTTGACTGTTTCTTTACCGAGCTGCACCGTCGGGAGACTTGACAGCACCTGCGCTGCGGCAGGCTGGGCTGATTCTGGCTGTGACACATCTGGTAGCTTAGACGGTGGTGGGGCCGGCATCCGGAGGTGGATCCGGCTTTGTATGTTTTGGTGCTGCAGCGGGCGTCTGTCCGCCTTGGAATCCCGACAGCGCTATGCTTTGCAAGGACAGTGCTGGTTGAAATCATTTGAGGATCTGTATGTGTGGCAGCGTCCCGCTGAAACACATTTTTTTCAAACTGTCCACAAATATCTCGGCCAACTGTTGCCACACATGCGCTTTGTTAGTCGTCAAGTGTTTTCGGCGCTCTCCAGAAACGTTCCTTAATTATCCCGATGTAGTGAAGGATCGTGGGGCTTTCCACCACCATGATGGTGGCAGTCCCAGGCGTTTGTTTTCTGCGTTTAAGAGTGCGCAGCATACATCACCCTGAGCTGATCGCTCAATCCCTGGCCGTGTTTGCATCGAGCTGCGGTGCACCGTCAGATGATTCATCGGTGACTGGTGATGTGATGATCAGGCAATGCCGCCGCGCCGAGAATGTCGTCGATCCTGTAGGGGTTGCTTGGCGCGCAGGGAAAGAAGGCCTACGTGCTTGGATGCGGCAATTTGAAGGGTTCACTCGAAGTTTCAGAGATGAGTGAGAAGACAGTGACCAACAGGTCTGAAGCCGTGCGGCTTTTGCAATCCGGCGAGGTGTATCACCCGAGTAACGTCGCCACACCAGGCAGGCCAAAAGCCGGATGATGAAGCTTCAGATCGCATTATGATTACCCGGATCTGATTGCATGGAAGAAGTGCTGATGACGAGTGATAACCATGAGCTCGCTTGCGTGCGGCAAGCTTTACACTTCGCAGGGCCCGGCGGCGAAACTACAGAATGGTGCATATGCAGCTGTTGCACTGAGCATGTGGAGCATGCGACCACTTGGTGCGCCGGAATACTTTCGCAGGGGCAGTGAAGCACCTTTGGGTTGCTTGTGTTACGATACCGACCCACTTGTTTACACTTCGCAGGGCATGACCGGCAGCGAAACTACAGAATGGTACATATGCAGCTGTTGCACTGAGAATGTGGAGCATGCGACCACTTGGTGCACCGGAGTACTTTCGCAGGGGCAGTGAAACACCTTTGGGTTGCTTGCGCTACGATACCGATCCGCTTGGTGGTCTAAAACCCAACTTGTCAACTTCTGGCCTCTTCTCGGGTCGTCTTATTCTGAAAGTTTGAACTTTTAAGAGCGTCAGTCCGCGCACACCTTGGCTTGTTGGTTTGTAAAGTTTATGTCTCACTCATGCATCCTTCCTCCTATCGGGCTTGCCATGATACATGCGAGGCTGCGATTTGTTACGATGTCGCAGAGGAGAAAGGCATGCCAGTCGACTTTCCGGTCATCGTGGACATGCGCTTGAGTTTCGAGCAGGAGGACAAGTGAAAAGACCAAGACCACAACGAGAAGGCCGTCACGGACTGCATGGAGAAGAAGCACCTTTCCGAAAAAGGCGCAGTTGACCGTGACGAAGGTCTGGGGTTCGATCGTGAGGACGGTTGAGCGAGGATCCGGGACGGTGTCTTTGGAATTCACCGACCAACTGTACCACTAAACCGAGCCATGTCGGTGCACGCTTTTCTGCCCACTTCCAATTGATGGTTTCGCACCGGCGCATTCACGCATTCTTCTGCGAACACCCGAGCAGGGCCTGACTCTACGTCGATGACATTCTAGCAGTGCTCTGCCCAGCAAGGCACCGTGCCCAAGTAGTTCTGATAGTGGTCCTGCTTGCAGCCCCGCACACCGCAATCAGTTGGCAGACAGCACCGGTCTGCTGTCAAGTCATTTAACGACGGACGTTCTGCGTGCACTGCGAGACTATTGAGCTTGTTCAGTCAAAAATTCGCAAAAGGCTTCGAGTGCAGCTGCGCAGTTAGCAAAAGCCAGCTCAAGTTCCGCACAAACTCCGGAGGCCACTCTTGGGTCCGTTGACATGGGCCACCACTCTCAGTCCACCTTCGCTCCTTTATGGCTCCGCTGTGCTAGGATCAGCTTGAGTCGTTTTTTCGACGGCTGTGACGAATCGGCTGCAACGCATTCCGCCAGGTTTCTATAGCTTCCTCGCAACATTCGCAACGCACAGTTGGGCGAAGTGGGCTCACAGCTAACATTAATATCCACCGCAAGTCCGGTGTTGGCGGCATCCCCCCATCACATGTAAGTGTCGGCGTTAGTGGATGCGCCATTCGGATTCTTCCCGCTCCGAAATCCACCTCGCGCAAAACAGCAGGTGTGTTCTAGCCGATTTTTAGCCTCTTGCCGCGGCAGTGTTTTGCGCACGAATAACTCACGTCCGGTGGTGCCCTCTTTTGACATTGCGGATGCCTTTGCAGGGGATCGGTGGTAGGTGATCTTGAAGACACTTCTCTACTAGAAGTGTTTATCTATCCAGTTGCACATGTCAGTCACGTCTGCGATGCAGGTTTTGTGTGTTTGTTGTTGGGCTTCTGTTGCAGCAGCAGGCGTGTTTTGTGCACATTTGTCCATGTTCACCATAGCACATCCTATCTTAGTGACGTGCTCTATCTTGTTGTTTTCCACAATTGGCTCTTGACAGCCCCTTAGAACGCGCTCTTCGCCAGCGAGGCTACATGCAGGGTAGGCAACAAGTCCTGCACTGAGGGGCAAATCATAAAAAAACATCCGCGATCGAAGGCTGTATTCTTTTCTTTTGGCTTTCTCCACTGGATTCCATAGTTTGTGGCTGTGGCGGTGGAGGGTAAAACCACTTTCTTGCTTACATTCATCCTTAAAGAAATTGGCTTCGTACTTCGGCACGGGGCTACTCCATATCGCATCTTTTCGTGATTGTTGCAGCGCATGAAAGATGATTTCCAGCATGTCCTTCGTGTGTTTCTTCATGGTGATGTACAACATGGCGATAGCATGGACAATGTGTGTGACAAGTTGGCGCAGCTATCTATACCAAGATTCAGCACACGTGTGGCGAGATACATCGGGATCAACCTTGCCGAGATCATCGCGAAGCCTACGGACAAAAAGCTACCACGTGATTTATTCCAAAACGCATCATTCTTGGTGTTCTCTTGGATGTACATGGGCTTCCCCTCCAGTGCACAGATGCTCGATAAAGTGCAGGGTTTATTTGTGGTTTTGGCTACTTGGATACGACCCTGGGGCAGGAACAAATGCAGATCCAACAGAGAGGTTTGGAATACATTCACTTCTACAAGTATCGTGCTCGCATTACACCGGTTGGTTACTGGGAGGTCCACTAAACATAGATTCAGTCATGGCGCGTGCCTTTGCACCTCAAATCCAAGAAGCATTGTTACAGCGCAATTTCGAGCAACAGTCGTGGAGAGATTATTGCGAGTATTTGTTCAACGCTATCTGGGATGCCACCTCACCTCGGGAGGAATCGTGTGTGTATCAGTGCTTCAATGCAGCGTGTAGCACTTGGTATGTTGGCAAAGCAAACCTGGTTCGTCGAGAAGGGCAACATGCATGGTGTGGTTTCGTGGCTCGTTTCAAATAACATGTTACTCTTACCATACGTCGAAGTTTGCATCAGTCCCATCGTCAGCGTTATAAAATGTGGGCCCAACACCCCATACACGCTATGTTGTTTGTGCCCGTTCTTTTCGGAGAGAAATCCTCTATGCTTCACTATGAGAGTGCATGCATACGTCTGCTACAACCACCGACGCAGACACCAAAGCATACAGCGAATGCTTCCAACCAGAAGCGTCATCGTCCTTTCCCACGTTTTCGGCAAAAACCAGATTTGCAAGATGAACTACGACTCAATGTTCTACACTGTTTGCAGTCGTCTCCGGGGTTGTCGACTACTATTGCTGCAAGCTTGTGGGAGTTCACGGACACGATCAAAAGCATCTCTTGCATTCAGCATGTTGACCAG